TATTGATAAGACACTTATAGGCCCTTATTAGGAACTTGTTGATGTTTATTTACCTGTCATAAACATTATTAAGCTGTTTATTAACATTTTATAAGGGCTGGTTATTGATAAATTAACAGAATTGTTATTTCCTTGTAAGACACTTGTAGTGGGTTAGGGTTAAAAAATCTTAATATTTATAGGCAGCTTATGAAATACATTTTTATTAACATTGACACTTAACTTTAGCATGCAGCTATAAAATAAGGTATGTAGTTTAAAATAAGGCATGTAGATTAAAATAAGGCATGTAGTTTAAGCTAACATTAGCATGCAGCTATAAAATAAGGCATGTAGTTTAAAAGAAGGCATGTAGTTTAAGCTAACATTAGCATGCAGCTAAAAATAAGGCATGTAGTTTAAAATAAGGCATGTAGTTTAAGCTAACATTAGCATGCAGCTATAAAATAAGGCATGTAGTTTAAGCTAACATTAGCATGCAGCTATAAAATAAGGCATGTAGTTTAAAATATGGCATGTAGTTTAAAAGAAGGCATGTAGTTTAAGCTAACATTAGCATGCAGATATAAAATAAGGCATGTAGTTTAAAATAAGGCATGTAGTTTAAGCTAACATTAGCATGCAGCTATAAAATAAGGCATGTATTTTAAAATAAGGCATGTAGTTTAAAATAAGGCATGTAGTTTAAGCTAACATTAGCACGCAGCTATAAAATAAGGCATGTAGTTTAAAATAAGGTATGTAGTTTAAGCTAACTTTAGCATGCAGATATAAAATAAGGCATGTAGTTTAAGCTAACTTTAGCATGCAGATATAAAATAAGGCATGTAGTTTAAGCTAACTTTAGCATGCAGCTATAAAATAAGGCATGTAGTTTAAGCTAATGTTAGCATGCAGCTATAAAATAAGGCATGTAGTTTAAGCTAACATTAGCATGCAGCTATAAAATAAGGCATGTAGTTTAAAATAAGGCATGTAGTTTAAGCTAACATTAGCATGCAGATATAAAATAAGGCATGTAGTTTAAAATAAGGTATGTAGTTTAAAATAAGGCATGTAGTTTAAGCTAACATTAGCATGCAGATATAAAATAAGGCATGTAGTTTAAGCTAACATTAGCATGCAGATATAAAATAAGGCATGTAGTTTAAGCTAAATTAGCATGCAGATAAAATAAGGCATGTAGTTTAAGCTAACTTTAGCATGCAGCTATAAAATAAGGCATGTAGTTTAAGCTAATGTAGCATGCAGCTATAAAATAAGGCATGTAGTTTAAGCTAACATTAGCATGCAGCTATAAAATAAGGCATGTAGTTTAAAATAAGGCATGTAGTTTAAGCTAACATTAGCATGCAGATATAAATAAGGCATGTAGTTTAAAATAAGGTATGTAGTTTAAAATAAGGCATGTAGTTTAAGCTAACATTAGCATGCAGATATAAAATAAGGCATGTAGTTTAAGCTAACATTAGCATGCAGAGATAAATAAGGCATGTAGTTTAAAATAAGGCATGTAGTTTAAGCTAACATTAGCATGCAGATATAAAATAAGGCATGTAGTTTAAGCTAACATTAGCATGCAGCTATGAAATAAGGCATGTAGTTTAAAATAAGGCATGTAGTTTAAGCTAACATTAGCATGCAGCTATAAAATAAGGTATGTAGTTTAAAATAAGGCATGTAGTTTAAGCTAACATTAGCATGCAGCTATAAAATAAGGCATGTAGTTTAAAATAAGGCATGTAGTTTAAGCTAACATTAGCATGCAGCTATAAAATAAGGCATGTAGTTTAAGCTAACATTAGCATGCAGCTATAAAATAAGGCATGTAGTTTAAAATATGGCATGTAGTTTAAAAGAAGGCATGTAGTTTAAGCTAACATTAGCATGCAGATATAAAATAAGGCATGTAGTTTAAAATAAGGCATGTAGTTTAAGCTAACATTAGCATGCAGCTATAAAATAAGGCATGTATTTTAAAATAAGGCATGTAGTTTAAAATAAGGCATGTAGTTTAAGCTAACATTAGCACGCAGCTATAAAATAAGGCATGTAGTTTAAAATAAGGTATGTAGTTTAAGCTAACTTTAGCATGCAGATATAAAATAAGGCATGTAGTTTAAGCTAAATTTAGCATGCAGATATAAAATAAGGCATGTAGTTTAAGCTAACTTTAGCATGCAGCTATAAAATAAGGCATGTAGTTTAAGCTAATGTTAGCATGCAGCTATAAAATAAGGCATGTAGTTTAAGCTAACATTAGCATGCAGCTATAAAATAAGGCATGTAGTTTAAAATAAGGCATGTAGTTTAAGCTAACATTAGCATGCAGATATAAAATAAGGCATGTAGTTTAAAATAAGGTATGTAGTTTAAAATAAGGCATGTAGTTTAAGCTAACATTAGCATGCAGATATAAAATAAGGCATGTAGTTTAAGCTAACATTAGCATGCAGAGATAAAATAAGGCATGTAGTTTAAAATAAGGCATGTAGTTTAAGCTAACATTAGCATGCAGATATAAAATAAGGCATGTAGTTTAAGCTAACATTAGCATGCAGCTATGAAATAAGGCATGTAGTTTAAAATAAGGCATGTAGTTTAAAATAAGGCATGTAGTTTAAGCTAACATTAGCATGCAGCTATTAAATAAGGCGAGTTGTTTAAGCTAACTTCAGCATGCAGCTATGAAATAAGGCATGTAGTTTAAAATAAGGCATGTAGATTAAGCTAACTTTAGCATGCAGCTATAAAATAAGGTATGTAGTTTAAGCTAACTTCAGCATGCAGCCATAAAACAGACATGTAGTTTAAGCTAACTTTAGCATGCAGCTATAAAACAATGCATGTAGTTTAAGCTAACTTTAGCATGCAGCTATAAGATAAGGCATGTAGATTAAGTTAACTTTAGCATGCAGCTATAAGATAAGGCATGTAGTTTAAGCTAACATTAGCATGCAGCTATAAAATAAGGCATGCAGTTTAAGCTAACATTAGCATGCAGCTATAAAATAAGGCATGCAGTTTAAGCTAACATTAGCATGCAGCTATAAAATAAGGCATGCAGTTTAAGCTAACATTAGCATGCACATATAAAATAAGGCATTAGTTTAAGCTAACATTAGCATGCACATATAAAATAAGGCATTAGTTTAAGCTAACTTTAGCACTTGGATTTTTAGAGCAGCTTGAATAATGTCTTAGGGTGTTTTCTCTCAACCTGGACATTAGAAATTGGTCCAAGAGATGGCTGCAGTGGCAGCGTGAAACAAGCTACAATGTAACATTAATATGCCGCTGCACACCTTCAGTTTCCATCCATAACGTGCTTGTTTTGCCACTGACACGCTCAGATAATTATTCTTAGTGTCTGACAACATTATGGAAAGGATCCCAGCTGAGGTCAAGCTTTTGTTAAAGAGTAAGATCCGTTTTGTTTTAACATGAAACATCCCTGAAATCGCCAAACCCACCAGACTCTATTCAAATTAACTGTCATTTTATCGTCATAAAATACACATTTAAAGTCGACAGGAACAAGATAAAACCTTCACAAACCATCTTAGTTGTCTAAGAAAATAAGAAATGTACTGAAGTATAAAGGGTAGCTGTATTAGGAGTGCAAATTACAATGTGATGTCCAATCTCGCATTCATGAGGTATATATAACTTATAGCTCTAATAAAGGCCTATAATTGTCTTATAAGCAATAATTAATCAATTAATAGTTTATTAGGCTTTAATTAACACTTATATTGTTGTTTATAAGCATCCTATAAGGTCTTATAAGTGTCTTATTAACTGTTTTACTGCCTATTACAAGCATCCTGTGAATTTACTGGTAAGGTAGGCAGTGAAACTGAGAGAAGTGAAAATCCAGAGCTGTGAGGAGACGGAGAGATTGAGGGAGGAGCTAAGCTGTTAGTGAACTATAGAAGAGAGAGGAACTTCCATATTCAGCAGAGTTCAATACACAAAGCAGAAACATTCCCTTTATTCAACATGCTGTCATTGGACTATTATGTACTTTCTCTACTGTTACTATCCATTCTAACAGGTATGTGAGATCCTGCTGAGAAAGTTTCATTACTAACTTTTCTGGATGGGATTCATTTGTTGAGTCTTTTACAACATGAAATAACAGAGTTATCTCTTCCTTCAGGTGTCAGCTGTGAAGAACTCACTGCAGTCAGGAATGAAGAGTTCACTTTAGAAGGCAGCTCTGTTACTCTGTCCTACACATACTCTAAACAAGCTGATGGCACTGATTATTTCTTCTGGTATCGACAATATCCAGGAAAACCACCACAGTTCCTCGTCTCACACTCTGCTTCAGGAGCAGTAGGAAATGATCCAGTCCCTGGACTGTCTGTTAAAGTGAGTGATGATAAAACCCATCTGGATCTGCAGATCTCCTCTGCTGCAGTGACAGACTCTGCTGTGTACTACTGTGCTGTGAAGCCCACAGTGACAGGAAACACCAAAACTCTGTACAAAAACCTGACAGATCCTCTGAAGATTTACTCACTTCAGCTCCTCCTTTTACTGAACAACAGCGCCACCAAGTGGACTCTGACAACACAATCTAATGACAAGTTACAACATTACTCCTGTTTTTAATAAAACACAGTTAATCCAGATCATGGTGTTTAATTGAGGCTATTTCTGTACAGTAAGGCACTCCACAAGGAAGTCTTCTTCTACACAGAATGCTTTGGTATCACTGATGATGAGACAAACTAAAATGATTACAGACCCATGTTGATGAATTAACTGTTCCAGGGTGAAAAGTGGTTAAAGAGACTTTGTTGTAACAGAAAGTTCACATGTTAAAGCTCCTCATTATGAGCTGCTCTGGATAAGAGCATCAGCTAAACAGCTGAGATGTAAATGTTGAGAGTTCCTCAACAGATGATGAAGAGGAAGGGCCAATGATGTGAAGGCCCAGATCCATCAGAGTATCAATGTTCTTCCTCTCTCTCCTCCCCTCTCACTGCAGACATGAACCACTGGCTGAGAAACATCCTGATTCTGACTCTCTGGCTAGGTAACTCTTTAAACCTACTGATTGTTCTCCTTTAATCAATCATCTTTATTGATCCATCTCTTCCTCTGCATGTTCTCTTCTTCCCCAGAGTGTAAAGGAGAAGACAGAGTGACCCAGCCAGCAGGAGATGTCATTGCTGCTGAAGGAGACACAGTTACACTTGGCTGTACTTTTGAGACGAGTGACCAATACCCCTACTTGTACTGGTACAAACAAGAAGTAAATGAGTCTCCTAAGTACATGCTGAAAAGTTACTCAAAAACAACAGATTTTGATGCAGAGTTCACGAAAGACAGATTTAATGCTACAATCAAGGATAAGTCAGTTCCTCTGAAGATCCAGAAGCTTCAGCTGTCTGACTCTGCTGTGTACTACTGTGCTGTGCAGCCCACAGTGACAGGAAACACCAAAACTCTGTACAAAAACCTTTGGAGCAAAGACAACAGAATACTCCACAACGTCCACTAGAGGGAGTCACACACTGTTTGATTTTTTTTAGTGCTGATAGAAGCAACATTAAATGAAGCACCACAGATAAAACACAATAAACAAATAACAGAACTTGAATATGTTCATATTATTTTCAAAGTATCTCCAATACTACTCCAGCAGATTGTTTTCACAGACAATTGAAATGCTTGGTGACTGTAACCATTGCAAGCTTTAAGCTGTGCTGCCTGGTTTGAAGCAATATGTAGACTGTAATACTAAACCCCCATTTGCACCTCTCACCATAATGTCCGTTTAATTCCCACCTACAAGTCCCTGCTCAAAAGCAGGACAGCACAAGTAAAAGTGTACTTGTTTGGAACAATGATGGCATTGAGACCTTAAAGGGAAATGAAGCAGTCAATCAAGTTTACATCATTTACACAATGGATTTCCACTACGATCAACAATTATACAAGAAACATGACAAATGTAAACGTATAAAAGACAATAGAAAAGAAGAACTGTTATATCTTTCACGGAAAGGGCGCCACCATTGTGCAGTACGATAACCTGCAATGTCACGGGGTTGGTTGGCTTTAAGGCTTTGGGCGAGAGATCGTGAAATACAGAGCCAGTGAAAGAGATAGTGAAAGACAGAGACAGTGAAAGAGAAATAGTGAAGGAGATAGTGAAAGATAGAGATAGTAAAAGAAAGATACTCAAGAGATAGTGAAACATAGACCTAGTGAAAGACAGAGCCAGTGAAAGAAATAGTGAAAGACAGAGCCAGTGAAAAAGACAGTGAACACAGAGATAGTGAAAGAGATAGTGAAAGACAGAAACAGTAAAAGATAATGAACGAGAGATAGTGAAAGACACAGACAGGGATAGAAATAGTGAAAGAGAGTGAAAGAGAGATAGTGAAAGAGATACTGAAGAGATGGTGAAAGACAGATATAGTGAAAGATAGACATGGTGAAAGACAGAAACCGTGAAAAAGAGAGTGAAAGACATAATTAAAGATAGAGGTACTGAAAGAGATAGTGAAGAGATACGGAAGAGATAGTGAAAGACAGAAACAGTGAAAGAGATACTGAAGAGATACGGAAAAGATACATATTGAAAGAGATAGTGAAAGAGATAAAGAAACAGTGAACGAGAAATAGTGAAAGAGATAGAGACAGAGATACTGAAGAGATAGTGAAAGACAGAATTAGTTAAAGATAGACATAGTGAAAGACAGAGCCAGTGAAAGAGGTAGTGAAGGAGAAATAGTTAAAAATAGAGACAGTGAAAGAGGTAGTGAAAGAGATAGTGAAGAGATACAGAAAAGATAGTAAAGAGATAGAGATAGTGAAAGAGATAGTGAAAGACAAAGAGTGAAAAATAGACCGTGAAAGAGAGTGAAAGATAGACAGTGAAAGACAGAGATACTAAAAGAGAGAGATAGCAAAAAAAGACAGTGAAAGACAGAGATAGTGAAAGAGAGATAGTGAAAGTGAGAGATAGATGGATGCCACGAACAGAGGACAACCAGTGGAAAGTCAGAATAGAATCAAATATAATAATTGTTTTGAAAGGTTTTCAAATTATTATTATTTTCATTGTCAGTAATTTTAGTTCCTTTATTTGTTTTTTTTTTATTTGTTTTTATTTCACGTTTATGGGTAATGGGGTTCACGACGTAGCAACATGTAAAAGGAGATGGCAGACATGAAAATATATTTTGAATGCTTTTTATATGCTAAAGCAAGATTAAATAAATGTAATAAAGAATTCCAAATGTCACAGTGAAATATATCATTATCAAAATATTGCCTACAGACACACGCACACACCTGTCTATAGATTTGTCTCACTCTTAACCCTGCCTTGGCCGACCTCGTCCTTTCTCCCAGTACTGTATCCTTCTCAGATTATTTCCCACACAGTTTTGAACCTGGTATCTTATTTCCTCTACCTGCAGCTTTTGGTGTGCAGCAGTCTCTGTGACCATCTCCCTCTTATTTTATCGTAGCAGTCAGCCTTGGCAGCGGCTGCAGCACTACAGCAGGTCAGTCACTGTGAGCCAGTTCCAAATACTGTCAGCAATCTTTACATCTTGTCATGGTCACATATTTGTTTAATCAGCTAATATCTCCTAAGTTTGTTATAATATCGATAGTCACAGATCACCACCTGTAGTATCAGCAGCAACATCCCCAGCAACACCATCAACAGCCCACAGTGTTTAAAGCAAGAGCTGGGTATTCCCTGTGTTTCTTTTTCAAAACTGTGTCATACCATTCGCTGATGTATCAATACAGAAGCATCAGTATACGCATATCAGCAAGGAATACATAACGATATATTTCTGTATCAATATTTTGAGAACAGCCCTATTTAAATCCTTGTTCCATGTGCCCCTTTTATACTTTGAGTACCTGCCCTGGTTCTGATAGCAGGCACTTTGAACTGTAGCCCATTATGTGACCTGAGATTATGACTGCTTTGTAAAGTTAAAAATGTCCTGTTTAAATAATTTGGCAGTCTACCTAACATATCTTTGCAAGTGAAGGGATGACCATCCTTCCAGTCTGCACAGTATACAATGATGTATCCTGAAACTAGAGTTAGTGACATATCTGAGAGCTGAGTGATAAAGGGGGTCAAGTTTGGACAAGGTGGGAAGAGAGGCAAACCTGTAGGTAGTGTCCCTATAATCAATCTGTGGCAGAAAAAGGCCAGCAAGTGTTTTTCTGAAGCCATGGAAAAGCAGGACTTTCACCTATACAGAAAAGGTTTTTTGTAAAACCAGATTCCCAGATATTTGTAATCATCAACAGACTGGATACAGACTCCATACAGGGTCGTGACGGAGAGGGGTGGTACCTTTGTTCGCCCAGTGGCAAAAATCATAACTTTAGTTTTGTGGGAATTTAAAAGCAACTTCAAATCTGACAGAGCATATTGCAGGGTATAAAAATCTGCCTGCACATTTGAAAAGGCAAACTCTGCTGTGGGGGCACAGGAGTACAGAACTGTGTCATCTGCATACAGATGATCCTTACAGAATTTAAACATCAAATATTATTAATGTAAACTAGGAAAAGCAAGGGTCCCAAAACTGAGCCTTGTGGAACACTTAGTAACAAGGACTGGATCTGACATGTCGTTGCCATGTTTATCCATTTGTGAATGATTGGTCAGGTAACTGTGGAACCATTTAGCCGCTTTGCATCCAATGCCTGCTCTCAGCAGGGTATTAACAAGTGATGGATGGTCCACAGTAGAGTCCAAATATGATTGGATAGCAACTAATGATTTCAAGATTTTTGAAAGAACAGGGAGAGATTGGCCTAAAATTGTTCATGTCAATGCAAACCTCAATATTATTAACACTACATCTACATTTTTTAAATAATTAATTTGTGAAGCTGGAACGATGAAATATTTTGACATGAAAAATGACAAATGATCAAAACAGCTGCCAATAAAAACATTTTTTTCAACCAACTAATTGTTTCAGCTGTGCTTGAATAAACTGTTGGGTAATTAAATTAATTACAAAACATATTTTATAAACTCTTCATATGTAGTACAATGCTTACTTTGTAAAGTAACAAAAGCTGTTGTAGTGAAGAAAAAAGAACAATCTCTCAGTCTGAGTTTGGTGGAGACACAACAAGTGGCATGAAAAGAATATACGCATTTGTACAGAAGGACAGTACTTGAGTAAATGTACGTAATTACTGTCCACCACTGAACGGCAGCATAAGTGTCATTTCCAGAGATGAAGGTACAGGTACGTAGAGAAACAAATAAGGTATATGTTGGAGTAAAGTGAGAACTGAGTGGGAAACCGCTCTTAAAATCCTTCTGCCAGTTATTAAATTTACGACTGAGAAAGATAAAACATCTATGGGACAATTTGATAAATGGGTTGAAATATGTTTCCTGCGAAATCGAATAAAAGAGACGAAACCTACCATTTAGGGCAGATATGCTATATGCTATATAAACCAGAACTGAGGGAAAGGAAATACTTCACTGGTTGCACTCTGTATGTTTGTTTAAGCCTTTGTAAAGAAAAAAATTATTAGACATCTTGATTGATTCTTTATTCCAGAAGACTCACTAAAGAAAAAGTTCAAATACATCTGACAATAAATTATGGACTGTAAGTTTGATGCCTTGTAATAATAAGCTGGTATGTAACGTCGGCCAGAGTCCCACTGCACTTTCACATCCAGACAAGGATGGACAAACACCTTAATGTTTCACTCCGAAGCCTGAGTCATGACCAGTTTCACACCAGTGTTTGGAGACAGAATAAGCTCCATGTTTGCACAGACTGCCTTCATTTGTTAGAGGGGGAGATGTCCAACCATAATTAACACAAGCATCTCTGCTTTCACTGTCAGTAATGCGGCAGCTCCAGAGATCGAAGCACCTAAATCAGCCCTTGGAAGAGTCTAGAAAGGACGTGACTGCCCCATTGTGGGAGTGAGGGAGTGTTTGCTGAAGCCTCTACTTTCACTGTGGTAAACTGGTGGTAGCAGCTCCTAACCATTCGCTCTCAGTGGAATATCCTGTTTGAAATGGTCGACACCACCGAGCTGGTTTTGGAGATCCTTATGTGTTCTGAACAGGCTTCATATTTTAGCCCTTTATCTGGAGAAGCTGTGGACAGGCTGGCAAACTGACAGGCCTTTAATATGATGCTGATACCATATTAAAAGCATTCACTAATTGTTCCTGATTGTCACACTAGGAAAGGAGAGAGTGAGGAAAATGTGTTGAGTGTAAAGTTGTCAGTCGGGGAATAACACAGGGCTGTGAATGAGCCCCGTCACTGTGATCAGGCTCCTCCTTCTAATCCACCAACTTAGTGTTGATGAAGACTAAACAGAGAGATCACAGCCTTCTTTATACTTGCTGGAGCTCACAGTTCCTCAACACTGCAGATATGACGCCTCTGTTCATCTCAGTGTTGCTGGCTGCTGTGTGCCTTGGTATGAACACAACTCTGGTTCTCTGATATCAATCCAACATTGACATGATTCTTTAACAGCACACTGATACTGTTTGTTGCTGTTTTACAGAATGCAGAGCACAAAAAGACAACGTGCTGCAACCAGAAGGAGACGTGACTGCTGCTGAAGGAGAGCCAGTAACACTTGGTTGTCTATATAACAGCAGTACAACAAATTATTATCTCTTCTGGTACAAACAGGATGGAAACAACAGCCCCACATTCATACTGAGCCGCTTTAAGATCGGTGAGGGGAAAACAGAGGACGAGTACAAGGAGAGATTTTCATCCACACTGGATTCCACCTCAAGATCAGTTCCTCTGAAGATCCAGAAGCTTCAGCTGTCTGACTCTGCTGTGTACTACTGTGCTCTGCAGCCCACAGTGACAGGAAACACCAAAACTCTGTACAAAAACCTTTGGAGCAAAGACAACAGAATACTCCACAACGTCCACTAGAGGGAGTCAAACTGTGTTAAACTTCAGTGTGATGATGAAGTCTTAAATTACTTATATTCTACATGAATCAATGAAATATTTGTAATATCTTATAGGTATAAAACATTTTAACAACACTTAGCAGGAAGCCTTTCATTAGGAGGGGATGTCTCTGAATGATCTTCCTCGAGGGTTTTTCAATCATGATTTTTAAACCTATAGGCAAAGGGAATATACAGAGATAATATCTTTGTGTCACAGTAAGTTCAAGTGGGCAAAGAGGAACACGAGGGAGTGGACCAGACCCAGAACCAGAGGCATGGCAGGTTCAGTTTTATGGTTTTCAAAATAAAAAAAGAGTACACTGACTTACAGCAAGCTGAGGCAGGCCAAGGTCCACACAGGCAGACACATAGCAAACACATCCAAAGGAAGCAGCAATAAACCAAATCTAAACGGTCTAATACATCAGGCCAAAAATCCAAAACACAGGAAAACACTGGGAAATGGCTAGAAAGCTTGACATATAGACAAAGACAAGGCAGGCGCACAGACTAAACACACAAGTGAGGGGAGATTAAGTAGACACAGGTGAAACTAATTAGGACAGGGCAGCCAATCAAACGGGCGGGAAAATACGAGGGCAGGAAATAAAGTAAGACAAGACACAGGAGATACAACATAAAATAGAAAATAACAACATCAAAACCCAAAACCATGACACCATGTCAATAATATGGAGTCTTAAAACACATTGTGATTGGTTTATGGAATAGACGATAACTGACTGATGAACTCAGCATCCGGCTGTGAGCTCTATTTTCTTTAAGTTAATCACAAGTGCTTTCACTTTGGCTGACTTATAGAAAAGAAAATCAGAAAGAAAGAAAAGCATAATTGCAGAGAATTAAGAACACCAGTATATATAAATATGTCTTGGTAACACTTTATTTGAAGGTGCTTGTAATAAGCAGTAATTAACAGTTAATAAGCAGCAATTAAAAAATAAAACACTTTATAAAGATGTTTATAACACAAATAAGTGTTAACTAAAGCACAATTAACTCATTTATTATTGATAAGACACTTATAGGCCCTTATTAGGAACTTGTTGATGTTTATTTACCTGTCATAAACATTATTAAGCTGTTTATTAACATTTTATAAGGGCTGGTTATTGATAAATTAACAGAATTGTTATTTCCTTGTAAGACACTTGTAGTGGGTTAGGGTTAAAAAATCTTAATATTTATAGGCAGCTTTTAAAATACATTTTTATTAACATTGACACTTAACGTTAGCATGCAGCTATAAAATAAGGCATGTACTTTAAGCTAACTTTAGCATGCAGCTATGAAATAAGGCATGTAGTTTAAGCTAACTTTAGCATGCAGCATAAAATACGGCATGTAGTTTAAGCTAACTTCAGCATGCAGCCATAAAATACGGCATGTAGTTTAAGCTAACTTCAGCATGCAGCTATAAAATAAGGCATGTACTTTAAGCTAACTTTAGCATGCAGCTATGAAATAAGGCATGTAGTTTAAGCTAACTTTAGCATGCAGCTATAAAATAAGGCATGTAGTTTAAGCTAATTTTAGCATGCAGCTATTAAATAAGGCGAGTTGTTTAAGCTAACTTCAGCATGCAGCCATAAAATAAGGCATGTCGTTTAAATTAAGGCATGTAGATTAAGCTAACTTTAGCATGCAGCTATAAAATAAGGTATGTAGTTTAAGCTAACTTCAGCATGCAGCCATAAAACAAGACATGTAGTTTAAGCTAACTTTAGCATGCAGCTATAAAACAATGCATGTAGTTTAAGCTAACTTTAGCATGCAGCTATAAGATAAGGCATGTAGATTAAGTTAACTTTAGCATGCAGCTATAAGATAAGGCATGTAGTTTAAGCTAACATTAGCATGCAGCTATAAAATAAGGCATGCAGTTTAAGCTAACATTAGCATGCAGCTATAAAATAAGGCATGCAGTTTAAGCTAACATTAGCATGCAGCTATAAAATAAGGCATGCAGTTTAAGCTAACATTAGCATGCACATATAAAATAAGGCATTAGTTTAAGCTAACATTAGCATGCACATATAAAATAAGGCATTAGTTTAAGCTAACTTTAGCACTTGGATTTTTAGAGCAGCTTGAATAATGTCTTAGGGTGTTTTCTCTCAACCTGGACATTAGAAATTGGTCCAAGAGATGGCTGCAGTGGCAGCGTGAAACAAGCTACAATGTAACATTAATATGCCGCTGCACACCTTCAGTTTCCATCCATAACGTGCTTGTTTTGCCACTGACACGCTCAGATAATTATTCTTAGTGTCTGACAACATTATGGAAAGGATCCCAGCTGAGGTCAAGCTTTTGTTAAAGAGTAAGATCCGTTTTGTTTTAACATGAAACATCCCTGAAATCGCCAAACCCACCAGACTCTATTCAAATTAACTGTCATTTTATCGTCATAAAATACACATTTAAAGTCGACAGGAACAAGATAAAACCTTCACAAACCATCTTAGTTGTCTAAGAAAATAAGAAATGTACTGAAGTATAAAGGGTAGCTGTATTAGGAGTGCAAATTACAATGTGATGTCCAATCTCGCATTCATGAGGTATATATAACTTATAGCTCTAATAAAGGCCTATAATTGTCTTATAAGCAATAATTAATCAATTAATAGTTTATTAGGCTTTAATTAACACTTATATTGTTGTTTATAAGCATCCTATAAGGTCTTATAAGTGTCTTATTAACTGTTTATTACTGCCTATTACAAGCATCCTGTGGAATTTACTGGTAAGGTAGGCAGTGAAACTGAGAGAAGTGAAAATCCAGAGCTGTGAGGAGACGGAGAGATTGAGGGAGGAGCTAAGCTGTTAGTGAACTATAGAAGAGAGAGGAACTTCCATATTCAGCAGAGTTCAATACACAAAGCAGAAACATTCCCTTTATTCAACATGCTGTCATTGGACTATTATGTACTTTCTCTACTGTTACTATCCATTCTAACAGGTATGTGAGATCCTGCTGAGAAAGTTTCATTACTAACTTTTCTGGATGGGATTCATTTGTTGAGTCTTTTACAACATGAAATAACAGAGTTATCTCTTCCTTCAGGTGTCAGCTGTGAAGAACTCACTGCAGTCAGGAATGAAGAGTTCACTTTAGAAGGCAGCTCTGTTACTCTGTCCTACACATACTCTAAAAAAGCAACTGGTAGTGATCAATTCTTCTGGTATCGACAATATCCAGGAAAACCACCACAGTTCCTCATCTTTCACTTGGGAACACAAAATGCAACAAACTCTAGATGGTCTGCTAAAGTGAGTGATGATAAAACCCATCTGGATCTGCAGATCTCCTCTGCTGCAGTGACAGACTCTGCTGTGTACTACTGTGCTGTGAAGCCCACAGTGACAGGAAACACCAAAACTCTGTACAAAAACCTGACAGCTCCTCTGAAGATTTACTCACTGCAGCTCCTCCTTTTACTGAACAGCAGCGCCACCAAGTGGACACTGACAACACAATCTAATGACAAGTTACAATATTACTCCTGTTATTAATAAAACAGTTAATCCAGATCATGGTTTTGAGGCTATTTCTGTACAGTAAGGCACTCCACAAGGAAGTCTTCTTCTACACAGAATGCTTTGGTATCACTGATGATGAGACAAACTAAAATGATTACAGACCCATGTTGATGAATTAACTATTCCAGGGTGAAAAGTGGTTAAAGAGACTTTGTTGTAACAGAAAGTTCACATGTTAAAGCTCCTCATTATGAGCTGCTCTGGATAAGAGCATCAGCTAAACAGCTGAGATGTAAATGAGATGTAAATGTTGAGAGTTCCTCAACAGATGATGAAGAGGAAGGGCCAATGATGTGAAGGCCCAGATCCATCAGAGTATCAATGTTCTTCCTCTCTCTCCTCCCCTCTCACTGCAGACATGAACCACTGGCTGAGAAACATCCTGATTCTGACTCTCTGGCTAGGTAACTCTTTAAACCTACTGATTGTTCTCCTTTAATCAATCATCTTTATTGATCCATCTCTTCCTCTGCATGTTCTCTTCTTCCCCAGAGTGTAAAGGAGAAGACAGAGTGACCCAGCCAGCAGGAGATGTCATTGCTGCTGAAGGAGACACAGTTACACTTGGCTGTAACTTTGAGACGAGTGACCCATTTCCTGCATTGTACTGGTACAAACAGGATAGAAAATGCCTCAAATTCATACTAGTCTGCTCTAAGGTTGGCCCGGGGAAAACAGAAGACAAGTTCAAGGAGAGATTTTCATCCACACTGAATTCCACCTTAAGATCAGCTCCTCTGAAGATCCAGAAGCTTCAGCTGTCTGACTCTGCTGTGTACTACTGTGCTCTGCAGCCCACAGTGACAGGAAACACCAAAACTCTGTACAAAAACCTTTGGAGCAAAGACAACAGAATACTCCACAACGTCCACTAGAGGGAGTCACACTCTGTTAAACTGCAGTGGTTTATGATCCAGTCAGGATTTGTTTTAGTGGTGATAGAAGCAACATTAAATGAAGCACCACAGATAAAACACAATAAACAAATAACAGAACTTGAATATGTTCATAGTATTTTCAAAGTATCTCCAATACTACTCCAGCAGATTGTTTTCACAGACAATTGAAATGCTTGGTGACTGTAACCATTGCAAGCTTTAAGCTGTGCTGCCTGGTTTGAAGCAATATGTAGACTGTAATAACTAAACCCCCATTTGCACCTCTCACCATAATGTCCGTTTAATTCCCACCTACAAGTCCCTGCTCAAAAGCAGGACAGCACAAGTAAAACTGTACTTGTTTGGAACAATGATGGCATTGAGACCTTAAAGGGAAATGAAGCAGTCAATCAAGTTTACATCATTTACACAATGGATTTCCACTACGATC